AAATGAACTTTATGTTGAGAACCATAAGAGTGGAATTTTCATATGGAGTGGAAATATAATTTTAGCGAGACTAGCGAATTTTAAGCCTTCTGTCTAGCGTCATTTGCTTTAGTCTAGTGGGCAACACTATTCACCCAATTAAAAACAAAAAAATGCTGTGCACAGGTTATTTGAATTGTCAATTTTTGTAAATTCGTATACATACACAGCATTTAAAACTATGTCTATTAAAAGTACAAAAACGAGACTAATTTTAAAGTTTTCCATTTTAATTCAATATAGATAATCGAATCCGCCTGTTTTTATTAAAATGTATTTGAATAAAAATTTATTTCGATACTAGTAGGCCAACTGTCAAAATAAGAATAAAGAACGCAATTAGTAATCATTAGAGCGTCGTAACATTCACAATTTAAGACATATTCAGCAACATGTTCCTTCTTTCACAATTTATCGATAAAACTGTCGACAACTACTACATGACTATTTAAAATTAACTGGCAACCGTGCAAATGACATTTTACGCCGTCTTCAAAAAAGTCAAAACCGTCGTCAGAAACACGATATCTGAACTCAACCAAATTAGGTACCAAAAACGAAGGCTGGGTCCCGATTTACACGGATCCCTGTAAATTGCAAAGTGCTGTAGGATTAGCCGTATGGATACCTGCCTACAAACTACTTCTTAACTATAAACTCCCCCCGCTAACCACTGTGTTTACTGGAGAAGCGATCTCTCTCCTTGAGGCAATCCAGTTTGCTGAATCCCATAATTTGTGTAAATCCATTATTTTTAGTGACTCTCAGAATTCCCTCCAGGCAATATTAGGAAATCCGTTCCGCCTCAAAAACAAGTTCCCTATTATCTTGAAAATCCGAGACGTACTGTACCGATGCCAACTCAAATCATTTAACATTATCCTGGCATGGATCCCAGGGCACTGCGGTGTCCCCGGTAACGAGACTGCAGACTTATGTGCTAAACAGGTTATCACCAGTGGCTCCCCAATCTATGGTAACGTTTTCCACCACGATCTCTTCAGCCTGGCGCATGACCATCTACTGAAATCATGGCAGGTCGATTGGCAAAACACTAGAAACCGGGCAGGTAAATACTACTACGAGATTCAAAAATGTATCCCAAACATTTTTCAAACAAAAAATGTTTAATAAGCAGGCCGTATCCACCATCTGTCGCCTAAGGCTTGGGCATGCATGTACACCTGTTCATCTTGCCAAATTCAGGATAAGGGATACCTCTCTCTATGAGTGTGGCGTTGAGGATGGCACCACAGATCATGTTCTTTTTAACTGCCCTAATCTGAACGTTTCTCGCTACGATTTACTCCCTCAAGATGTCCCTCGTCCAACTAACATAAAGTGCATGCTCGACATGTCCAAGCCCTCCCCTTTTAAAATTTAAAAAAATTTTTGGATATAAACCAATTCAAATTGTAAAATGTTTACCTTTTTTTTGTTTTTTCCTTTTCGTTATTTTATCTAATTGTTTATTTGTTTTTTATTTCTTATATAACCCCTTTCTATAACTATACTGCTTGCATTAATTCATTAATGTACCTAAAAAGTTTACTAACAACCCTGTTTTGTTAGGCTATGCTTTGCCTTGTTGTTATAATGTTGTCCTGTGATATTGCAACTGTGTGCTTTGTTTTAGATAAACCCGCTTCGAGTCTCATAGACAGCAGCAAGGGTCAAAATTATATTTGAAAATAAATCCATTCCTCTCATGTAGAGGCTACCTACGTGACAGACACAGAACAAGCCACTAATAAATAAAGAAGAAGAAATCAACCAAATTTTACAAATGAGAGATTTAAGGTTATTACTTTGTTATTTCAATGGCTACGACTTGCATTTTTGCACAGTAAACATCTAAATTATCGAAATCGAAACTCATAATCCAATGATTATGAGTTTCGATTTCGGTAATTTAGGTAGTGCATTGGCTAGTTACGCGTAATTGCTAATTGCACTATCCCCGACGTTAAACGAAGTAATAATTTCGATCGCCGTCGTAAAAGAACAAGATTTTTTTTCACGTTTGATCGGTTGATTTCCAGATGAAGCAAGCAATCTTTGAAGTCTTTAAATAGAAATATTACATAGGTATCCTATGTATGACAATCGCGAAAACCTAAGAACTCGATAGAAATATTACTTTTAAAAATAAAACGAATAAATAATAATGAATGAATAAGTGACTCCATGAAGCAAATTACCCTATCTACAATATTGAAAGTACTTTCCCCAATGTCTCATAGCCATGTGACGTCCAGTATAGTACGGATTTTTTTTTCTTTTTTCATATAATACCAAGGGACGGGACGCACAAGTCGTGTACCTGGTGGTAAGCGACACGCCTATCCATAACAGTTGCAGTGCTACTCAGAGCTTTAAAATGGCAAAGATCTGAAGGGCAACGCCATTGCGCCCTTTGCCATGGGACATAAGTTGACAAGTCCCATGTGCCTCTAATTCCACCAGCACCCTTACCCTTTCCCATCGAGTGTGTAACAAGAAATAGGGACCATCCATCTCTAGCAACTCATCAGGCAAATGGGCCTTATATCACTTTTAAATATAATATAATCACTTATATCTCGTTTGCGCTAAAATCACAAATTAGAGAACTGAAAAACTACAGCGCCAACAACAGACCAGTGTTTATGTCTCCATATATTCCAAAAATATTCTCTATTTATTGTAATATTATCTCTAACAATGGGGGCTGTTCCATTCGGCGGTGTGGGAAAAACAGCAAAACATCTAATTACAAAACAAACGCAATCACATTTCATAGGTAATTTTGCAATGTTCGTCCATTATAGCTTAAGTTAAACTGGTCGTTTTGAAGTGAAACAATTGACGGCACCAGCCAATTGTTTTGAATTCGTGCTGGCCAATCGGAGCGCAGTTGTCACAGTAATGATTGGGCAGAATAGTTTTCAAACACATCAAATAACATTTCGTCTCTATTTCCATAACAGATGCATATATGTCTGGTTATATACTCGATGCCCTATCCTAACCGGAACGCAATAATGCACACATCATTGCTTGGCGGCAGATATAAGGTGGTAGTACTTCCCTAGACGAACTCTTTCACAAGGAGCGCTAATGCTACTAAAATTTTCTACTACGAATAAGTCATTTCTATCAGTCAGAAACGATGGATCATGAAGACTATTCGTCCCGTATATGAGTGCCTTGTGGAATGTTTAATGTATAGTATAAGACTAAGTTGGATAGCGCTGGTCGTATCGTGCGCCGTTCATTATTATGCAAATGTGTGCGTCCGTACACGGCACGGTGGGCGTGCACACATACAAGCCGTGCTGCTGCGCTTGTATGGAGCACAGAAATTTTGCAAAAATTCATCACTTAGTTTCGACCACCTCCTGATATTCCTGTATTGTTACGCTGATTTTAGTGAAGTGCCGTGAAATGGTATGGAAAAACATCCAGAACCTCAAACTTTCAAAAAGATGGAATCACGTTTCAACCGCTAAGTTATAACTACGTTATTTACACTAAAAACTACGAAGGAAACTGATCGCTCGTTGATGTCTTTTGGACAGGTCTCTTTCTTTTATTATGATCTTACAATTAAACGTCTCTTTTTGTCGAAGACACGTGTAACACTAGGGTTGGAAAGATTTGAGATCGGGTCTTAATCAGTATAACAAATATTATTAGTATATTACTTTTTTAACTACGTTTATAGAATAGCACTTATTGTTTATTTCTTCTATTACGTTTCGTGTCAAATTGGTTACATAAATTAGTTTTAGTAATATATTATTTTATGTCTTCTTTGATTATATTAATAGTTATTCTTGTAACGTAATACAATGAATAACAAATTCATGTTTTATCTTATCACCTTACATTGTAAACTGCCACTGTAGAGGTCTCAGGTTCGATTCCCGGGCCGGGAGAAATTTGTGGTTGTCAATGTGTGTGTCCATGGCACCCGCGACACAGGGTTTCCCGGGTGCGGGGCTATGTCGAGTGTGTGCGTTATTATTATAAAAAAAAAATAAAAAAAAATAAAAATAAATAAAATAATTATTATTATTGTATGGCCTAAACCTTCAATTATGACGTTGTAAATACTTAACGCCATAATTAATTTCATTACTTATGCTTTTGTAAATACGACAACTTATAATACTTGAGTACCTTATTTTCTTACAATAATTTTTTTTCCTGTATCTAAATATCATCCCGCTGTCGTAAATCATTCAATAATTTACATACATACTACCGTCACGCCTGTCTCCCATAGGGGTAGGCAGAGCTTTGAGTAAGACAAGCCCACTTTAGCCACGTTTAACAAACGTTTTATTAAAATTGTAGTATAACTTAGTGCACTAAATAGTGACAGGTTGCCAGCATGTCATTCGGCAAACTTCGTTACTCGCATAGGGTATTATAAAATCCTAGATATCGGTTAGATGAACAACCACAATTTATTTTACATTTTTATACTAACGCGGCGGATATGCGTCAACAAGCGAGTAAACTAACACACAGTATAAAATTACAAAATTAAATTGTGGTTGTTCATTTAACCGATGTTTAGGATTTTATAATAATACTCTATGTGAGTAACGAGCTTTGCCTAATAAAACTGATAAATTCTAAAGTCACGTGTTATGCGCATTTCAGTGAATTCTTTAAAACGCTTCCCTGTAAACTTGGCAATTTCGACATACGATACTTCACGTAGGATGGGGTCGATAGAGGACACCATTAAACCTAGGCCCTCAGTTGGCTTTTACGATTTGCGCGAAATCATAAGCAGTTGATACATTCTATGCTTTTCTTTTGCTTCCAGATCAGCATGGAAGAATTTAATAAATTGTGTTACAATATTATCGTCTTTATTGACTAATAGAATGCAGACTGGTAAAGGTTGCCCATCACTAGCTGTTAGTGCAATTTGAGTGCATTTCTAGTTCAACCTAGAACTAGCGAATCAGAACGTCTTAATTGCATTCCCTGTGTCTCTTGCCTTCCTCCAAATTTGATGAACTCGGTTCCGTACAAATTTTCAACAGGCTGCATCTATTAGGAGGTTATCTATGGTATGGAGTTACCATACTCGTCTTATTATACTGCCCTCGGTACGAAAAAGGAACATTTTGTTCAAAATTAGTTACATACCAGAGTTGTTCCTGATGCAGGCATTTTACACATCAGCAGATGCTGATTTTAGGTGTTTAAAAAAAACGCGAAAAATATACAACAATACGAATTTGGGATTCACACGTTTTCAGTTGCATTGCAATGCGAAGTAAAGCGAGTTACACGTATAAATCACTGAAATAAATTCTTCAGAAGCGAGAGTGCAGGTGTGAGTTACCTCAGAGGCCTCCATGCCGATGAGGTCCAGCTGCACCTCGCGGTACTCCGTGTGATCGTCGTCCTCGCCGCCGTAGGTGCGCAGATCGACGGCCTCGTCGCCCTCCTCGTCGTCGTCGGCTGCCAGCGCAGGGTCGAAGGAGAACATCTCCCGCCCGGACAAGCCCACCGCGCGGCCCGCCTTGAAGTCCGTGCGACGCTGCTCTTCGGCCTGCGCTAGGGCGTCCTGTTGCACGAAATACACACAAAATTATTTGCAAAACATTTACTTTACAATTCGAAGATGACAGCGTCCTTATTAATTATGTTCCATTTAAGTCAACTGCCTCCGTGGCCGAATGGTTACCATGCCACGCAGAGGTCCCGGGTTACACAACTATTCATATGCAATTTGAATAGATATTTTAGAAAATTATTTCAAAAAACATTTTTTCATATCATTAGTTCACAGATTTCAAAAAAGTAATAACACTGACTAACTGATGTCAATTCATTGCCTATTTTTAAAATTCATACCTTAAGAATACAAAAACACGCACTTTTATTCATCAATTTTCGAAAACTTTTTAACGATATACCTAAATTCTAGTAAATTAAGTTTAATAATAATAAGTTACCTTTGCATGTTGCCTTAAAAATTAATACATAATGTTTTTTCGCTCATTTTCTTACAAATAAAAATTCATTTGGTGTTATTTTTACTTGAATTTAAAATATTTACTTAAACTAAAGCTATTGATTTAAAAACGTGGCTTACAAAAATAGTTTATGAAATATGTAAATTAGTGCATGTTGTTACAAGGTTATCTTTTGTTGATTTTTATTAACTCAGTTGGCAGAGCGGTGGCCACTTAGTCATAGAACCACTCCTATCTTCATAGTCTTTTAAATAAAAACAACTTTAAATAATTAGAAATGATAAATTTTTTTCGGATATAAATCGCGTATATTTGTTTTTCAAACAAATTGAGATTTCGGACCATGGCACCTGCAAAACTTTAGAGGTCCCATGATCACGGCTGCCGAAGATGGTAAAGCTATCAACCTGTAATGCCTAATATTAACGCAAACCACTCTATTTTTCACTATAATTATACACAATTTAGATCTGAAAAAACTTTAAAACGAATTTCATATCCAATGTGTAACAATGGCAAAAATCAAAGAATTAGATTCGACTTTAAATGAGACAAAACATACCTGTTTCTCCTTAATCTTCTTCTTTTTCCACGCGAGGAAGGTTTCCAACGTGATCTTCGTCTGATTCGGGCCGAGGGCTGCTCGCTCCCTTTCTATCAAATCTACCAGCGAAATTTCATTCTTTTTCTCCTCCATTTTCTTTTTATCCCTTTTCAATACGAAGCCTGGAGGCAGCGCATGCCTATAAATGCATTTGATACCCATAGGACACTCCCAGAACCAACCGTATTTGGATTTCTCTACAGCTTCTAGGAAATATTTGCATATCTGAAATGAAAATTGGTACAAATTCAGATAATAAACCAAATAAAAGGCAGACAAGTTACTAAAAATCAATTCAAACAGTTTAATTGTCTATTCATGGCTATATGTATTTGAAAGAAAAAAATGATGATATTTTATTATGTGAGAGTTGCTAAGGGAAAATTTTGCTGTCAGTTCAGGCACATCATCAGCCGATAAAGCTACCACAATCGGCGCATGAAGTCACGCGTGAGATTGCACATTGTTCGTAACTCTTATTGAGATATCCACAAAATAAGATACTACAATGTCAGTTGGTTTGGTCTTTTCAACATCCCTGTGATGCTTCCATACTTTTTTAATTTGTCCTCGTCCTGAATTGTCCTAATTACGACCTTGAACGTTGAGATATCTCATAGGTGGTCCAACAGTTTGCTCTTTCTTCACTGGATGAGGACATGAAGCATTCGTTTCAAATAAAAAAGTCTGGTCTGGTCGGGAGTGAATTCCATTTCTCCGACACTCATAGTGCAGAGCATTCTTTAGTTTGAAGACTTGTGTGATCGCCTGACACATTATTATTATCTTGCACAATATAAATATCTTACGTCCCTATATCTGTGGTGCTTCCCTTTAACCCTTTTGAATTTGTCCTCGTCATAATCATCATTACCCAACCCAATTAAGGTTTTGAATAATATGCACAGTAAACAACTTACAATGTCAGTAGTGGGCCTAGATTTGTCATCTCCGTGTTTCTTCTCCACAACCTCTTTGAGTTTGTCTTCATCCCAGTTGTCCATAGTGTCGTCGTCATCGCGCATGTCCACGTACAACGAACGCTTCTCTGCCTGGAAGACACAAAAAAAGGTTGCCACTACATTTTTAGAACACTAATTTTGTAAATCTTCTGAGGTTTTTCTTGGCTAAATGAAATTCACCTAGAAATTAAACCAGATACTGCAATAAGTAGTTTTTGCTATTTAATAAAACATAAACAAACAACAACACACAAACAGACACAGAAAAATACGCCAAACTTATAACTTCAGCATACATTTACAATCAAATAAATAAAGTTCTACATGTACACAAGAAATCGTAACACAAGTGTAAATCTATGACAACAAAGTGGGTTCACAATTTAACTATAACCAAGCTGAAATGTTAATCCAATGCGCAATATAATTCAGAAACACCACACAACTGAGTATGTTCAATGATTATCACTAATATCAGGTTTCTTACCACCATCACATAGTTGACTCAGTCAACCCATGACCATGGAGCGTGCAACCGTTCCAAAATATCGGGAAAATAAAAAGAAGTCATACCGTGGTAAGAAACCTGATATTAGTGATAATCATTTAGTGAATAACCACAAAAGTCTTAAAATCTATATAACTGAGTATGTTGTTTTCTGTACACATATAGATTGTATCATTGTTGTTTTGTCTTCTGTCCAACTAAGAAATAGTATAGGTAAGTGTAAGCTATTTGTGTAACCTTAGAGATATGAAGAGCGGGTGCCCTGGCACAGGCATTCTTATGCTTAAAAGGAGACTTTGGAAATTAAAGTGAACACTAGTAAATTATAACAAATAAACTATTTTTTATTTTGATTGAACTTCCCTCTTTTTTTTATTCAGTAGTCAATAATTTTTAATATTGTTCAAAGCTGAAAAGAATGGTAAGTACACTTTTGCAATGGCTCCCTGTGAATTATCCCAGACTTGTTTTGATGACTACATTATATAAACTTTTATACAAACCTTTCTTTCAATCGTAAGGTCGTGCGAGAATTTACACCGGTCGCCTTTCGTACACTGGCCCTGCTTGAAGTATGCGCACACTACAGATTTGGGATCAGTACCTGTAATCAGAAGGTTGAATCTTCATTCAATCTTTATTCAGTAGCATTGCAACACTCCGGGTTTAGCTAATCAACAATAAAACTGTACCAATATTAGCGGCGAAAGGCGAACATTTAAAACAAATAAACCGATGTAAAATGCTAACAGCAATCCATCATTCTTTTATTCAACATCTATTACAAAGTTGGAGAATAAGGTTTAATTAAAAGAAACTTAACCATATCTTAATTAATTATCTACGCCACCAAAATATCATCCAGAAAGAAATTTCTGTATCATTTTTACACTACCACGGCAACCTAGAAATTTTTCAGAATGAATAGACATATTGCTATTTAAAAATTTTACTTTTGTGACGAAACTGTCAACCATTTCTCTTTCTTGTGGCACGGGTGCATAGTATGTAGTATTTTGTATGGGCTTAGAACGTAGCTACGGGCCAGGTTACCTGAAGAGAATTTTTACAGGCTAAACAAAATATTTAGGCATTTTGTTAACCATAAGTGGACTGTGGTATATAGTTGTATATTGGATGAACAAAATAATACAAAATTGTCCTTGATTAGTATAACTTAGTTCTTTTCTGAATAGATTAGTAAATTTCCTGGGCAAGCTGATGGAAACCAAGTTATATGGTCTCTTTGCCACTGAAGATATTGTTGAAATTTAACATTTAATTTTATAATAGTTTTTTTAAGCGACATGATTTGGTCAAATGAAAACTTGCAATAATATGAAATTCAGCCTGACATTAATGCCAAATAGTATAAATATTTTTGACAATTGTTACCTTAGTTACTACTCAGGTAATCTTTTAAAAAGTATATGAAGGCAGTTATTCATATTAAAAAAAAAAATGTTTTCTTTAGATAAAATTAGCTGTCTTAAGCATTTGAGGTAGTTTATGCCGCATTGATTGTTTTCACCCAGTGTGTAAAACACAATTGTTTATAATTAATTGCCATTAGTGTTACCTTTTTCAACTTTCTGTGTTTGCACAGGTTTGAAAAGCATAGCTAACTCCTTCTGCTCTTTCATCTTTGTCTCTTTATCCTTCTTTTTGTCTTCCATGGGCTTGGCAGGGTGGATGCCGCCACTTTTGACTTGTTTCTCTACTTGTTGGATGAACTTCTGCTGCTTCGCCCCTTTTTTATTCTTTAAACCAAATGTCTTGTCCTGGAAATTTGAATTTTTAAGAATCAAAATTTACTGTCATATATTCTCAAATATTATTACAGGCCTCACATGTCAGAAACATCAATGGTAATGAAAATATAACATGTCAGTGAAAATAAACATGATTGAATAAAAGTGGCAGGCAGGGTTGTTAATAAATAATCACAGCTTAAAACAACAATAATTATTTAGTTTTCCGTATTGTTCCAGATAATGGCAAAAGAATTATAAGTACACAAATGACCAGAATAAATGTAAAGAATTAATCATAGCTCATGGAACATTTTTTTAATATACTTTAAATACAAAATTTTCTAGCGGTACTTTCTCGTAATAATACATGCACAAAAAATGATATAAAAATTTGTAAATATTAGATAACTAATGACAACTTCATAAAGACTAGGTGTATTTCCCTTACCTCAATGACCTTCTCTTTCTTTTTCTGTTCTGCCTTCTTACTACCACCACCTGCAGCAGCTGGTTTTTTTGGTGGCATGGTTATGTTATTTTACGAAACCTCCGAAACAATAAGTTAACTATAAAAATATTACTACACCCAAGTGAGTATTATGAAATCCGCTATTTTAACATAATACACTGCGGATTTAATTAATTAATATGTTTCTAATTCTCTAGAAAAATAGTTAACCCATCCACGGCACTTGCAAACGTCGTGGAAAATTGACACTTTTGACACTTTGACTTTTTATTTAATTTATTGCTGGCCATGGAAACAAAGTCCTTCAGCCGCAGATACTTTGACACTGTTTACAATGTTGCCAATAATATTTTAAAATAAGTAAATAACAAAAGCCGGTAAATTGTATTGAATGTATTCTGTGGTTAGTTTATCGCACGAAAGATTACATTTTTATATTGGAAAAATATAATTTGGAAGACTCATATTATGTTCTACGTTTAGAAATATCTTTTGAACTTTTATTTAGCGTGAATTATACAGTAAATTTGTAATAGCTAAAAGCCACTTAAAGAAAAATGAGATTTAAAATGATTTGACAACAGCGAAAAAATACTTTGACGCTTAGGTTTTGAAACCATTTTTCCGGATTTAAATCGCGTATATTTGTTTTTCATCAACCGTGACCATAGGACCTGTAAAGGGCCCGTAAGGTCGGTTTGTTTGAAAAAACAAATATACGCGATTTAAATCCGAAAAAATAGTTTAATTTCCTATGTGTAATAATCGCGAAAACCTAAGAACATTCTCACAGCACAGTTGGTTTCATCGTTTTCGTTCAGTAACTTAAATTTATGACAGGTGTCAACGTCAAATGTGAAAAATTAAAGGAAAAATATTGGAAAAATATCCGGAAAAACATGTATTTTTTTAAACGTAATTTTTTCAAAATGGCATTTTTTTCTATGACCAACACTATTGTGTTAGTGCAAAAAAAAAACACTGTCACTGTCAATGTCAATTTTCTATGCAGTGCAGCAAGCAGTCAGTTTGATATTTGATTGTTGTCAAAGTGAAATTGGTGACGGGTGATCACGGTCAATTTCTTGAATTTTTGTACCGTGCGTGAAATAATAAACAGTCGCTGAAAGTAGGCCATGGCGGGCGATATCCAGTCCAAAGATCCACTGCAAATAGTAAAATAGAAGTTGTTTATTTTTTCCTGGCTAAAACCATGGAAATAGTGGACGTTGAAGACGGACGCCAATGTGACCCGACCGCGGTCACTAGAAAGAAAAGTTTATGGGCTAAAATTAACAATAGGACGACGTATAGTTATTTATTCAACATTGTGATTTCAATTTTATTGCTCACGTGTTTAGTTTTAGTGTTATATTTCTTCAAAGAATATTTGAAGACGATATTATATTGGGTGGACGCGCAAGATCCGTGGATAATATTTTTGTTGTTTATGGGTATGTTTTTAATTGTGAGTTTCCCAGTGACGATCGGGTACTTGGTGTTGATAATTACGAGTGGATATTTGTTCGGGATTGTGAAGGGGTTGGGTACGGTGTTGGTGAGCGCGAATTTCGGCGTCGCCGTGGCGCACTTCACGCTGAAAGCGCTCAAAGACTATCTGCCACTAGACCGGCTGCTGAAGAACGATACAGCCAGAGCGCTGCTCAAAGTAATCTCCGGCCCGCAGGCCTTCAAAATCGTTTTTTTCGCAAGACTGACTCCTATACCCTTTGGTCTGCAAAACACGATATTTGCTGTAAGTATTGCTGTTTTGATTTCATAGCTTACAACAATAGGGATATGTTTATACTATGTAATTTCACAATTAATTAATTTTAAAAAAGATATATATAAAAATTCATAGTTGTCTTGCCTTAAATAATCTGTGGAACAGGTAACTAAGCATCATGAATAGGCATCAAGTGAGTCAGTGAAGGGATTTCCCCATAATTACATGGAGCTTTTCGAGTAGGTGGCTGTAGTTTTTAGACAGGGCTTTTAATTTTTGTTTGAGGTAGGTGTTTCTGAAATATGTTTTCTAAAAATTTTTGATAATAAATTTCATTAAAAAATGAATATTTTTTTATAAGATTAATATTAGTATCTTTACTTTAGTGAGAATAAAGAAATTGTATTGTTCATAAATTGTACTATCAAGAAACAACTTACAAACATACTTATCAGTGGCAATAATATATGCTACATGTTTTAATTATATATGTAGTGAAAAATGTTGCTGAAGAACATCATATTAATTCTGTTATATTGAAAAAATTGCAATAATTAACAAGTAGCTCTTTCTCAATTGACATCAATAAAACTGCATGTATTTCTTGTTTGAAATTACTGCCACATGCCATAGAATTCTTGAACTGACAAAATTATAAAATATCTAATATCTAAATATAATCTATTTATTGGAACTATTAAATAGAATTATTGCTAGCCAATATAGTGATGAATGGACTGCCCAGTATTAATAAGAACAATATTAACCTGCTTGTTAACACCTTATAAAACAATTTTTTATACCTACAAAGACTATATAATAATAATAATTTCTTTTAAAAGGGCGCAAACACTTAAACTAAACACTACAAATACAAGTACTATAAATTTTTAAAACAAAACAAATTGGAATATATTTAAGTAGTGCAATGATCATTTAAACACAGACCAGTTAACTCCTAAACTAAGTAAAAACTTGTATTATAGGAGTTATTAGTTCTTTGCTCGGTAGACATGTCGAAAAGAAAAGGAAACAGGAATCTAACACATGTCACAATTTAAAATGATTATAACATGTAGCATACATATGAATCATATGTATACTACATGTTACATATGATTCATATGTATACACCCTACACACATACATAATCTATGAATGTATAAATAATAAAATAAAAGTAAGTGTAATAATAAAATAAATAACATAAACTAGAAACTAAAATAATAATTAATATTATTAAAATCAAACATATAAATATTTTTTTTAAGTAATATCAAAGCTTTTTTTACAAGTTTAATTGTAAAGTAAAAAATTAGAACTTAAAACACGCATATTACAAATGAATTTTACAAAGCCTCTGAAATAATTAAGCATGTTGCCGTAAATGCCAAGGCCTTAAAAGGCATATTTCATACTCTTTTGTAATTAAAATGCCTCAAGGACATTTTCTTTATACTATATCAAAGAAAAGCGAATATTTTCTTTAAAGAAAATTTTGTTGAATAAATTTACTATGAGCTTGTTTTTTTTATGAGTTGTGTATTGGTTGAAGATTTTTGTGAATCATGTGCTTTTTTGAATCTACAGTGTCATAATTTTTTCACATAGTATAATTATAAAAAATTAATACAACTTTTGTGCATTATCGTAATATAGAATAAGTTTGCATTTAACCTTAATAATCTGCTAGAATATTATGCGAATTTATTTTTATGCATAATACTTTATCAAAGTTGTATTAACGAATTAAAAAACTTGGATTATAATTAAAAAACCAATCTGTCAATTATTTTAAATAGAACAAGGTTGTGAATTTGTATTTGAACAAATAAATGTTATGTTATTAATATATTTAGTGTCCATCCTAACACAAAAACAGCCTGCATAATAAATAAAATCTATTTTTAACATCACATATTGAGTTTTTAAAACAATTTTTTGTAAATTTATTCAATTAGTCTGTCAAATAGAAAACTCATAATTATAATAATATAATATTTATATAATATTTGTTCACTTAACAGAAATGCTCAATTGAACAAGCCTAGTTTTTTAATCTGAATAATTGAAGAAGCTCATTGTATATTTACACTATCTTACGCAACTGAATATAACTATAATGTGTGAAAAATCTTTAGGGAACATGAGCGCGTTCCCATTATGTTGTAATGTTTTATTTATTGCTGGACGACTGTCGCGTCTAGCCTGTTCCCATATCACGACTATATGTTGTGACTGTGTCGTGAACGTTTATTTTATCGTTGAACGACTGTCGTGTCTAGCTGTTCCCACTAGATCGTGACGACAATTTATCGGTTCACGGCAGCCATCTTGTCGTTTGCACGACTGAATCGTTTGAAGCTGAGATTATCTGTCGTCACACTTTTATCGTGACGTTTTACTTATCATCTAACGACTGTCGTTCTAGCTCTTCCCATTGTCACGACAGTTTGTGGTCGTAACGTCAAAAAAGTCGTCAACTATTTCATTTAAATATACAAGACATGACACTTTAAACTGCACGACTATCTGTCGTCACGATATAATGGGAACGCGTCGTCACTCATTAAACAAGCATTATAGTGTCAAATATATACAGTGTTCTAAATGACATCCTTTCCAGGCGTCTTCTTCAGTATTATATACATAACCAAAACACTTTTACTATGGAACTTGTTCAAAATCGCGACAAAAATTATTAACCGATTTCGTTTCCATGAAAATGTACCTACATACATACTTGACTCAAATTAATACAATATCAGAACTCATCCACAAAAAAGTCGCTCAACGTGTGATGTAGCTTGCTTTGGGGTTTCTCTGATGGACCGAATTCATGATGAAGTTGTCAGAATACTAAAGTACCGAAATAGCCCGCAAAATCAGTAAGCTGAAGTGGCAGTGGGCCAGTCGTGTCTGCAGGAGAATGGATAGCTGATGGAGCAGATCTGTTCTGGAGTGGCGACCACATAATTGCAAAAGTAGGGTACGACGCTGTGCGGCGAGATGTACAGACGATCTGTTGGATGCGGTCGCCACAAGTCTGGGAGTGTTGACATGTTTAGGGGGAGACTTATGTCCAATAATGAATACATAGAAGCTGATATGAAAATAACGTCAGCTAATAATAAACCCTTATATCAATTCAATAGAATATTATCGTTCCGTTTATCGCGAAAATTGATGGAATAAAATCATATGTATCGATCGATTCAAAATTTCATTTTCTACGTTGTGTTTCCTTCTTTAGGATTGTAAGTTACGTTTTGACTAGTGTTGTTGTAAGAGACATCGAAATCGAATCTAACATTATTTTGTCTAAAACAACCTCTTGAAATACCACTTAAGTTAAAATTTGAGTATCTGCTGGGTAACCCGTTCGCGAGGAGGGTTAAAACTCTACTATTATGTTAGGTCTTGCCTCTCATTACGAAGCGATACGATAGAGTAGAATAATTCACAGGGATTGAAATTACAATGCCGACATTAACACCTAAGTGTGTTACAATCCGTATTAAAAACAGCAGTGCACTCCAAAAAAGTCAAATCACCAACCGCAAGCTCACAACACGTCGAGACCGATTTAATGAGCACAAACACGATAGCTCTAATGTAAGTAGTTGAGAAGTTAGGTAGTCTACTCTTTATTGCAACGTCAGATCAAGGTTTCCATATCCTTGATATATCATCGGATTTCCATAATATAACAAATTTCAAGTCAATCGAACAAGGTATCCCTACCCAAACTGGGAAAAAAAACAGCAGCTTGATTTTGATTGCCTCTCTCGATCGGAAACTGCGTTTTATCCGAGTCGAGGCGCATAAAAGGCGCATTCACAGCTGGCCGATCTGAAACTTTTGACATTTCTAATCGGTTGATTTATAAATTTTTATTGAATTGATATTCAATTATTTTTTGTGAAATTACTCCACTAGTTTGTTATATTTATTAATACAAAAATCGACCACTCAGAAAAAATTCCTTCGATCCGAACCGACGTCTTCTAGCTTACCGTGCTAGACGACCAACTAAGCCACGGAACGAACCAGCGGACCTCACGAATTTTTCTATGTGCATGCTTTGTATCTTTGTATTTGGTTTTTCCAACGACTTTTTAGTCGTAGCGCCATCTATGAGAAATCTATGAAAGTTTTATCACCCAGTTAGATATCTTTACAGTTACCAGTCCTAGCGAGAGATGTCGCTATTCACTGTATTTTAAATTTTTATTGAATTGATATTCAATAATTTTTTTGTGAAATTACTCCACTAGTTTGTCATATTTATTAATACAAAGATCATAGTTGATTTAACTCACAAATTAGAAAGATATAGTGGGAATCAGGTTCATCTTCTCGCTCAGAAACCCACCTGATTTCGAGACTACCCGATCGGATCGATTTCGGTTTGAATGAAAATCAGCACGCTGATGATAGTTAAAAGCTGAACAGATGTTCATCAAACATAGCTAAGAACCGTTGGCATAGCGTCTGCCACGGTTTGCTAGAAGACATCGGCTCGAACCAGGCCGGATCGAATGATTTTTTTCTAAAGTGTTCGATGTTTGTTATTAATAATTATAACAAACTAGTTAAGCAATTTCACAAAAAATAATTCAATATCATGGTAGTAAGACATCGTGACATTCAAATAAAACCTGAAAAATTGGAATGATTAATATCGACATCTCTTGTCAGGATGGTAGCTGTAATGGTACCTCTCTGAGTGATGAAATAAATTTCCCTTAAAAAGATCCCTTGGTTCGTGGTTCGTTCCGTGGCATAGTTGGCATAGCGTCTGCCACTGTTTGTTCGTCGCGTGCGTCGGTTCGATCCGGCGATGGATTTTTTTCTAAAGTGTCCGTTTAATAATTATAACACCCTGATTAAATTTTAAACTTTCGCGTTGCATTGTACCAACATTTGAAAACGGGCATAAACGCGATCAACACTAAGAGTCGTATTCTAGAACTCTACTCAATGCTTAAGTCAGGACTTGAGTATGATTCAAAGCTCTAGAAATC